ATATATATATATATATATATATATATATATATATATATATATATATATATATATATATATATGCTGAGAAAAGCCTTGAATATATGTATTTAATAAAAGCCGTATATACTAATGTCTGCAACATTATTGTGGTAGAAGAAAGGAATGGAATGGCCAATCAGAGTCGTTCAGATTAGTAAGTGCTGAAAATTCCAGAGTTTTTGTTAAGTGTGCACAATCACTGATTGAATTCTTTGCTCCCGTGAATTCCCTCATCATAAACAACAAAGTTCAGATATGACGTAAATAAAATATTCATTTTGTAGCTTCAGTAATTATAACGGGAGTTTTTGCATAACTTGTGCAAGACTAGACTTCTGTGAAGCCAGAACCAGAAATATTTGATAAAGCACTGGATAGCTGGCCAATAAGAGCACACCTCACTTTTCAGAACGATGAGCTTTGTAAAAATTGACGGCGGGGCATAGAGGAGAAACGATAATATACAGTATGTGGAAAATAATGTGTTTTTTGAACCTTAAACCGCATAAACACATTTCATTACAACAAATACACAAAATAATGTGTATTTGTGTATTCTTTTTAGCAACATCTTATGACCCCTATAATTTGCATAAGGAATCAATTAACAGCTAACATCCCATCAACAGATTTTTTTTTTTTTTTGGTTGGTTGGTTGGTTTCTGGGAACACCTGAAGGTACATAAATTAGAAATTCACTTTTAATTTTTTTGCTCATCACTCTATCCAGATTTACGTCAAGCCTCAAACCTATTACTAAATGCAAACAATCTCTATGATGTGTCTGAGATGTGCGCTTTCATTGATCTATCCATTCATCATCCTTAACTGTCAAAGTTCTCCAAACAAACCCGCCAAATGCCAAGGAATCTAACAGAGAATTCCAGAACATCATTGTAGTTCTGTTGCATCCACAGAGAGAAAGAGAGAGAGACACTAAATGTGAACTGTAATTGAAGCAGAATCTCACAGCTGTGCCGCCCCCTCTGTCCCCGGCGTGCTGGCCTCCGCTCAATCTCTCTATGTGCAAACAACGATGTGACGCTCTGTGTGTAATCTAATAAGAACAGTCTGCTCACTTCTCAGGAAGCTCTATTATTGGATTGATTATGAAAAAATGATTCTGAGCAGATGAATTGCTCCAGCACAGACTCTTCTGTCATAATTAAGTTGTAATAAAGACAGAGGCACATCCGTAGGCGGGCTACTGCAGACCCCCACAGCTCTCTAACACACTTCTACAGCTACCACACAAATCTTAAAGGCTGACATGATCGAAGAGTGAAGTCACACATCATCAAATATTTATTCTGCTATTTAAAGTCAACATGAGAATCGGTCCGGCGTTGATAACTCATTTAGCGTTGTGCAGTGTGACATTTTGGAAGTACAACAGGATATTCTTTAAGGAAAAAATAAGGGTGGGTCTTTATTTTACCCATCAGTAATTAGATAAGATAAAGGCAACAATCAATCAAGTTTTTTTGTTTGTTTTGTTAAAGAAAACACATAATAATAACTCATCTTGTGCTTCTCAGTTACACATTTCATCCTTAAACAGCTTAGAAAGTGACTTTGAGTGGTTTGTCAGTTTAAATCCTTCAATAGTCATTCAATTGCCCTTTCATAGATAAGTGCTTTCATAGACAATATAATATATAAAACCACAAGACCTTTTATTAACTCTTATAAATATATGGAAGTTATTTTCAAAGCATTGTGTCACTGTAGCTCCTTTGATCCCAAGTCTTTCCATTGCATTTACTCAAGTCACCAGCAGATGTCCTCTGTGTTTCGAGCACAGCGAATCATTTTGTGAACTAAATGGTTGAACTGATTCAAAGTACAGTTCATTTTGTGAAGCAAATGGTGGAACTGATTCAAAGCATTCAAAGCTTTGGTCCTCCCATCAGAACAGCAGCTCCTTATCCATTGTCAGTACTATTTTATGAAGCAGTCAAAGAGGCAAGGCAGGGCAAATTGTATTTATAGAACACAAGTTTAACACAACCGTAGTTGATCCAAAGTGCTTTAAAATTATAAATACAAATAAAAAAATAAATAAATTCAGAATTTTAAAAGACAAAAAGAGGGTAGAAAAAAAAGACATAAGAAAAAAGACAAAGATAAAAACAAGTATCAAAACCAATCAAGATGTATATTCATAGAACACCAACTATTCAAAGTACATACACAGCATCACTCAAATCCTAGAGAGTAAAAATAAGTCTTTAAACTGGATTTAAAAGCATCCAGTGATAGAGAGGCCTTAATGTTCAAAGATAGACTGTTCCAGAGCTTTGAGGTAACTACAGATAAAGCTTGATCACCTTTTGATTTACAACGAGAATGAGGGACAGATAAAAGTAACTGATCACAAGATCTTAACGACCTAGAGGCTGCGTGTGGCCTAATAAGAGCACAAATATAATCCGGGGCAGAATTATGCAATGCTTTGTATGCGAAAAGAAGGATCTTAAAGACGAATCAAAATTTTATAGGGAGCCAATGCAATGAGGCAAGGACAGGGGAGATATGATCCCATTTCTTTGTTCCTGTTAACAATCTGGCTGCTGCATTTTGAAGCATCTGTAACTGAGACAGTGTAGATTGAGGTAGGCCAATGTGCAGAGAGTTACAGTAATCCAATCAAAGGGACATTAGTGCATATAGGACAATTTCGAGGTCTTTACTAGAAAGAAAGTATTTCACTTTTGCCACCGATCTGAGTTAAAAAAAAAAAAAGCAACACTTTACAAATACATTTACATGCTTGTCAAATTGGAGAAAAGGATAAAAATGGACTCCAAGATTTTTTTGCATGATTGTGTAGGTTATTACTTAAGAAACCTAACTGTGTTTTAATGGATTTGTTAGTAACAGCAGGACCTAGTAGAAGCACTTCGGTTTTATTTTCATTCAGTTGCAGAATGTTATTTGCCATCCAGGTCTTGACTTCATTAAGGAAGGAAAAGAGATTATCTAATAAAAAGTCATTTCCTTGCTTGATTGGAAGATACAATTGAAGGTCGTCAGCGTAACAATGATAATTTATGTTATATTTCTGGAGTATTGAGCCTAAAGAGAGCATGTAGAGGGAAAACAAAAGAGGGCCAAGAATGAATCCCTGTGGAACACCGCAATGTATAGGTGCAGGGGGTGAAGGAAATGACCCGATATTTACAGAAAAAGTCCTCCCCTTTAAGTATGAGGCAAACCACTGTAAAACTAGGCCCTGAACTCTAACAAAACACTCAAGTTGTTTCAGAAAAACATCGTAATCAACAGTATCAAATGTGGCACTCAATTCTAAAAGTATCAGGATAGGACCCCGAATCAATGGACAGCAGAATGCCATTTGTAACCTTCAGCAATGCTGCTTCAGTGCTATGCAGCACTCTAAAACCAGATTGAAATGGGTCTAGAATATTAAAAGTATCCAGGTATGAAGTAAACTGTCAGAGTGCAACTTTTTTCAAAACCTCTGAAATGAATGAGAGTTTAGAGATTGGCCAAACGTGGTTATGGTTATGATTGTGTCTAAAACCTCTCGAAACAGACAAACAGGTAATACATCTAATTGACAAGATGTGAGTTTCACCTAAGAAATTATTTTGAGTAATTGAGTATTTGCCAAAAATATAACTTTTTATATTAAAAACAAAGCCCAGCCCTGAAAAGTAACACAAAAGTAACATAACACATTACATAAAAAGTAATTCAGTAATGCAATTGGTTACTTTTTTTTTTTACAAAAAAACACAATATTGTAATGCATTCTTTTTAAAATAACTTTCTCCAAACCAGTTTATGTGCATATTTCTTGTGATAAATGCTCATTACCCTATGTCACCAAAGTGTGCTCTTGGAGAAGGACTTCAAGGGCTTAGGGCTCCAACAAATAAAAAAAGATGTTTCTCAAAGGCACAGAGGCAAAAATTACAAATGTAAGAGTCCAAGAGAGGGTGGAGATTGGATGTGAAAAGCTAAACTCTGGTAAATGTAATGACCCATTTAAATGCAATTTTAGTGAAAATGAAGTGACGTGTGGCCAAGTATGGTGACCCATAGTCGGAATTTGTGCTCTGCATCTAACCCATCCAATTTCACACACTCAGTAGTGAACACACACACACACACACACACACACAC